ACCAGCTAAAATGTCTCTCACTGATGCAAAGTCTAAAAATAAGCATGTTCTCCACAAACAGCTTAAAGATGTTGAAAATGAAAAGCAACAAAGGATGTAGAATGTCTGAGTCACTAAATTACAGGGCTATCTTTCTAAGAGCAAAACAAAACAACACCCCCTGCTCCTGCTCCCCAGCCCTCCCTGCTGAAATTCATTGTGAGGTTTCTGGGTTAAGTTTGGGGCTGTTTGCCCTGCGGTGCCTGTGCAGAGAGTCGGCTTATTTTTGTGGGCTAGTGAAGGGCTTGAAACCTTATCCGTTTTTATTACAGAGTGTGCCAGAGCTGCTCTGTATAAATAAAAGGAATGAAGCCAGTCTGCTCAGCAGCATGAACAGGAGGTGCTTTTCTCTCCCACATGGGCATTTCTGTTGATATTTTTTATTTTTTTGGGGGGGGGACATAACCCCCCTTGCATGAGCTTTCTGGCTATCAAGTAGGGAAGAGTGTAAGTACACATCCATCTCCACAACACGTTCTGGCCCTGGTTAAGCCACAAGTATTTGGGCTCTTGGATGGGAGCAAGCAGGTTTTTGTGGGTGTAATCGCATTTGTCTATAGCTTTAGTTTGTTTGAGATAATGTGATTAAAAGGAGTTCTTGGGTTGGTTGGGTTTGTTTGTTTTTGTTTGTTTTTTTTTAACTCCTTGAAGGTCTCCTTTCATGATGAGCTCCACTAGAGTGAACTCTGTTGCAAAACTGAATCATTTTTAGCATTTGCAGATGAGCTGGAATCAAAATCTTGGTGTTTGAGGCAGCAGGAAAGGAGATGGACTGGTGCCAAACCTATGCCTACATCTGATGTTTGCAGCCAGCCCCAATCTCTCTAATAGGCTGAAATGAAACCTTGGATTCAAGCAGATGGTAGGGCTGGAGATGCAAATCTGCCAGTGCTGTTGCATCCCGGACCTGCTTTCAGGATGTGCAATGCCCACACTGGGGTTTGAAAGAGGTGGAGGCTGCCCCTTTCTACCCATCATCATCACCTTCATCCATCTCTTCCTTGCTGTGGCAAGGAAAGGAAGAGCAGCAGCACCAGGCCAGGCTGCAGTACCTGCCTGGCTCACTCATTTCCCAAATAACCCATCGATTGATTACTCAGTTGCCTGCATTGGCAGGTATACTAAAGCCTGTGCACAGTGATCATAAATTCTGGAGCAGAGCTTGCTCAGCAGTGATTTAATCTGGATCTTTAGTTCCGAAATGCGCTAATTAAACTTCAGGATAAAGCATCCAGTGCAAAAGCAAGATGAATAAAAAGTAAAAAGTTTCTCCTGGAATAATTAACCATCATTAAAACATGAAAATCCAGGCTAGGGAGCAATTGTACGCCTTCCACAAAGTGTTTCATCAGAAATAATGGGAGGAAATTAAGCAGTATAAAAAAGTGGGCTGAAAGTTGAAAAACTTATCCTACTCATGAGACCTATTAGACTGTGAAGTGTTACTGAACCCTCCCCCTGGAGTGGGTGAATGTGTATTTGTCAGGACATTTAAAATTGGACTGGTTAGAAACCCCCTCCCTGACACTGTGTGAGATAATTGCAGACCCTCCTCTCTTCTGTGGCCTTACAGATCCATCTGAGTTTTAATTACAGTGGGTCACCCCTAACCAAGCAAAACTGTAATTTCAATAGAAGACTTCTTTTTATGTCTAAGTTTGACCCTACAGACCTTACATCTAGATATTATGAGGGATATTTTTAAGACACTAGCCTCTTCTAAATCACACACTGGGTCACCCTGCCTCCCCTTGGATGATGTGTTTATTGCTGCTATATTTACCATGTGCTCACCTGATGCTTTGGCCACTGCTTTCCTTAGTCTCAAAAAAAGGCACCTGAAATGAAACTGGGACCCACACATCTGTGGGTTTGCTGAGCATCTTCCTGTGAGCTGGGTGGTACCCACATGTAATCAGGGTGACTGGTTTACAACAGCTTGGTAGCCTATTACATCAAGCAATAAACCACTTGTTATCAGAGTGACAGCTCAGTGCTGACAGTGACAACTAGCACTGGTCCCCAACAGGCAGCCAGGCAGGTCTCTGACAACAACCTGCCTGCCTGGCATAATTTCTCAGTGCATTACTTTGTCACCTTAGTATTATATTCTCTCTCACCATATCATTTTCAGGAGCCTGATGCGGCAGTCTGTGTGCTGATTACTGAGGTGGTCTCACAGAAAGCACACCCTCCATCACCACCCCCTGGCCACCCCACCAGGGACATCTTATAACAGGGTTTACCGTGATCAGCTCTGTATTTTAACAATGAACAAGAGGAAAGGGCCACTGGCTGGTCTTATTTATGCAGACGCAAGCTTGGAGATATTCTGGATGTATTTAGGAATTAATAAGAAATGAGAATCACAGGCTGGTTTGTGTTGAAGGGACCTTAAAGCTCCTTCAGTTCCAACGCCTATGAGGCTGAAAGGAAGGAAAGGGGAAGGATTTTATGTCAGAAAAGGACAACACAGGCAGGATGTGAATTAAACACCTTTGAGCCATAAAATCAATGCTTACTCTGAAGGCTTTGTTCAGTCCTTACATGATTGTGGGAGTGTTGCTGTAGATGCTGGGTGGCTATCCAGGCCGTCTTCCAGATTCAACCAAGGCAATTTTAGTTGAGTGCTTGGTTCCCATTACAGACTCTTCTATAGTCAACTGTTTTCACTGTGAGAACATCCCTTATGTATTTAGCCTAAGCTGCCTTTATCCAAATTTCACCCCACTGTAAGCACCCAGTCCAGCTTCCATCAGGTATGGCTGTTTCAGTGGATTTGCCCATGCTGGGCAGTGCTTCTGGTGCCTTCAGAGAGGGAACTGGAAATGCAAGCCAGCTCCACCAAGCTCTGGTGATGACTGTGATCAGGAAAGGTATCTCCCAAGTGCTCTGTGGCGGTAGTTTTAGTGCAGCTGAGAATAGCCTAAGAAGATGGTCAGCAAGCCGGGAGGAGTGCACTCCTTCAAGTACTTGCTCTTTGACTATGGAGAAGTCAGGACTCCCCTAGAGCTGCCAGCATCTGTGATTTGGAGCTCCTTGACCTGCTCCTCTGGTCTCCTCAGTATCAAAGAGCAAGTCAGGCATGCTGGCTGAACTGGGACACCAGGTTCAGAGACGCACACCTCTGTGTGCACAGGAGAGATGTGCAGCCATGGTTTCTTCATTTCTAAAAAACTCCAGAAAAAAACAGCTTAAACACACGTGCTTAAAAGAGACCTGGAGAGCGTTTAGGCAGCCAGCTTTCTAAGGGGCTCAGCCCCAGATGGGTGATTCTGTGAACATGGACTATTTGTGGTTGATGGAGTAATTGGGGTTGTAGACTAAGAGGGTCGCTGGAGTAATAGGGATTGTGGAGTAGCGGGTTGTGGAATAATAATGGTTGTGGTCTTTTCCTGACAGCTCTGGGAGGGAGGAAAGGTGGGATGTGGTGGAGGACCGGAGGGAGGGATGGATGGATGGACGGGGCAGCTGGTCCCTCTCCCTTGCACTCCGCTTCCCTCGTGGGTTTCGTGGAGGGGTGGAAATGAACGAAGCACGGAGGTGCCGGCCAGGAAGGGGTTAGCGGGGGCCTGCCGCAAGGTGGGCCGCGGCGGAGGGGGGTGTTCCCCGGGCGGGCGTTGCGCCGCCGCCCTGGCCGGGGCTGCCGGGGGGGAGCGCGGGGCGGCGCGGAGGGGCTCGGCGGGGCCATGGGGGGGCTGAGCCGCAGCGCGCCGCCCCGCGCTCGGCATTAGCCTTCGGCACTACCTATTTCCATCCCATTTTTAATTGAATTGTATTGTATTTATTTCATTTAATCCCCCCCCCACCCCCCTCTCGAATCTCTCTTTCTCTGCCTCCTTCCTCCATCCTCCTCTGAATAACTCGGTCAGGAGCGATCTAGAGGAAGGGGGGTGGGGGGTTGGGGGGGGAAGAGGAGCCGAGCAAACCTGTGGCGGAGGAGCCGGCTGGTGGAGAGGTGAGTGGAGGAGGCGGGGAGAACCCACAGCGAAGCATGGGGAGCATCAGCTGCTCCACGCGGTCCCCGGGTGGGGGGCAACCCGTGCTCTACGGGTGACAGACCTGTTGGCCACAGCGTGGGCTCCCCTAGCCCCACCGTCTGGCTCAGACGGGGCGGTCCCCAGCGGGGTGCAGCGCGGTTCGGGGATGGCGTTTGGGGTGGGGGGGCGGTCTGCGGGTGTTGGTGCGCTTCCCCTCCAGCCATCCCTTGGTACCCCATCCCTCCGTGTGTATGGTTTGTTCATGGGTGGTTTTCTCCCCCCCAACCCCCCCCCCCCCCCCTTCCCTTTTGGTGTTTGGTCCCCACGCATGTTTGTGAAAAGGGGAAGGCAAGTTGCCATGGAGCAGTGTAACATCACTTTTTATTGCCAAAAAAACCCTCTTTTTCTTCATTTCTGGGCCTCTTGCCTTGTCCATACCGTGGGTGATGTAATGAGTGCTCGGTATCTATGCAGTGTCCTGCTCTTGTGGAGTTAGATAAGAGTGAAGATCCCAGGGCAGAGAGAGCATCCACCATCTGTTTGAATAAATGGGTCTTAATGAATCTGTCAAAATCGTACCCGACAGATGAATTTGGCCCCAAACACCTCCTGATGCCGCTGTCGGCAACCAAAAGGTTCCCAAAGAAAGCCCTGCCTGTCATCCAGATGCCTGCTAATAGCTTTAATGTATTCAGCCCAACCTCGTTTTATTTCCGATATCATTTCAATCACCAGATTTAATACATGATTTGCAGTGATTGCCTCCTGATTTCCCCACTTGAGCAGCAAAAAGGAATGCATTAAGGAAAGCTGAGCTGCCATGCTTTGCTGGTGTCCTGAGTGTGAGCTGCTTCTCCTGTTACTCACCAGCAGCTCAGACCTTTTCCACCCACCAAGTTTGACTGTTTTCCATGTAGCAGCTGCATCCCCCTTAGTCTACGCTGCACTGTGTCGCGCTGTTCTTGCAAGCTTGTCACGCTGTGCTTGCAAGCTTGTTCTCGGCTCTCGGTGGCTTTTGGAGTGTGCTGAAAGTCATCAGGATACAGACGGGCTCCGTCGGGAAATGATAGCAGGACGAGATCAGCTGAGGGAGCTGCTTGCTGAGGTCTGCCCGGGCTGTGGTTGCCTGTAACTCCACTGGAGGAGAGGTGCGCGATCCTGTCTCACTCAATGTGCTTGCTGGACTACAAGAGGATCTCCTCATTGCCTGGGAAATCAGATTTCCCCATTGTTCAGCTGTAAAATAGCTGCACAAGGCCGTGATTGGCAAAGGACTGGATCACCCAGGTGGCTTACATCACGTAGGCAGCTGCCACCGAAATGACACTCTTGATTGAAGGCCAAAAGAACCATATACGTAACTGCCTGTGATTAAGCTCCATATGATGCCTCAGAGCAAGTAAAAAACCCCTCCTTCATCTCATCTTGTTTGTAACGAGACAACCATTGCAGGGATATCATTTGGGTCATGTTGTGGCTTTTGGGGGATTTTTTGTTTTGTTTTGTGTTTGGTTTTTGGCTTTTCTTTGCTTCTGGCTGTAAACTTCCATGATCTGCACCAATCCGCTGTTGCACCCTTGCGTGATGCCCCATGAGAGCCTGGTGCTGTAGGTGTGCTGGTAGCTGGGAACACAAATTTTACCAGGTAAGAGCTCCCAATGCCATTTTCTTAAACAAGGAATATTCCAGCTGGCTTCTTTTGTAGAGGGAAAGGGTCTTCGCATGCGTCCTTTCCCCACTGGCATGAATGTTTGTTTCTGGGAAGGGTTTGATAGGGGAAGCTTGATCTTTTCAGTTTTTGGAGTCTTTGTGGATGCTTAACTCTTTCCCCAGAGTCTGCACTGTACCTGTAGATAAATCCCCTCTGCACTGTACCCATAGATAAATGCTTTGCCTTGGCTCTGGAGAGGCAGTTTGTGTATCACCAATCAGAATCCCAGTTGGCCAGTGAGGGATGGGGAAGGTGGTGGAGGGCTTGTAGTATTATATGTAAGAGGGCTTGTCCTGCAGGAGCTGGCTTCTGGTGCTGTGCTCTTCGGTGATGTGTAGACCTTGCCTGGTTCTCACAACACCTTCCTTTAACTTTTCCATGGGGAAGGATCAGGCCCTGGCCTGATCCGACACACTAATGGAGTTCATCAGCGAACAAATCCACTGTGCAAGCATCTCCCTGCTAGTGAATCCCAGGGAGAAACCTAGCTTGCAGAGAGAAAGAATAACATTTAATGTGAAATAGTTTGCCCAGGTGCTAATTTAACCAAAATCCCCATCCTTTCCTGTCTCAGCTGTGCAGGGAGCAGGGCCGTACCTACTCTCTCTGTACTCACACTCTCCCTGACTTCATTATCATGCAGTTTTTATCCAGTTATAATGTGCTTGAGGATTATGCTGATGCAGTGTGTTCCTATAATATCATAATATATGGGTATGTGTAAATATAGATGGATATATAAACAACGTTTTTGTAGCCAGTTGTTCAGGCTTCCCTTCAACAGTCTAAATCCCAGTCCAGGCTTGGTACTTGTAAATGGCTGGTCCCATGCATCTCCCACAGCCTCCAGAAAACCTTCCCCTGTAAGTTACAATGCAATGCAAGTCCTCTCATTTCATTTCATTTCTCTTGAAATGGCCTAATTTCTAAGCAAAAATCATTCCTTGACCAGTAGCAAGGTGGTAGTGCTCTGCATGTCTTGTCTTCCAGAGTTGCTGTAAACTGAACAAAATACCCATTGAGAAGCTACTTATATTAGCAATACTAACAAACATAATTTTGGTCGATTTGTGCACATATAGCTTTATTGATTCAGCATGAAATATTCCAGGCAACCTATTAAGCAATGTAAAATGAAACAGGCAGAGCCTTTTCACAATATGCTGGGAATACTGAATGGATCTGGGAGCATTTATTTTAACCAGGTGGCTTGCTAAGGTAAAGTCAAATGATTTTTGAGTCCTGTAACCAATACCAAGTCAGTTTTATACACTACACAGCTAAAGATATATTAGTTAGCTCAGCCGTTAACTGGGGAACTGATAGGCATGGAGAAGCTTTGCAAGACTGAGTAGCCTTTAACTGTATTTTTAACCTATGAGTGTTAAAAGTGTAAGCAAGAAACTAAAGTAAATACTGGGTATTATGCAATAGTACTTGGGCTATCATGAGAAAAGGGCAATAGAAACAAACTGCTTTATAGGTCTGCTTCTAATTAAACACAGTCTACTTTGATAAAAGCATGAAAATATTTCTCAGAATAAAGACATTAAGCAAGTGGTAATTAAAGCCACAGTGTGGATTTAGTCTGTTGAACCTAAGTCCATGGGCAGTACACAAAATGTATAGAAATTCAGTGGGTGGTTATAAAGATGCCCTCTTATTCCTTGAACTTAATGTCTGCTTATGGAGGCTTACTGGGCATAATTGTATATACATTTTTACAGCATGATAAAAGAAAACCTTAAACATCTGCACTGTATGCTGTCATTAGGTCCGTTCACAGATGAAGCCTTCAGGCAGCATATACCTCCCTTTTTCATGCATTATCGAGCCATTTAACCTGGATGGAGGTCTTGGATCCACACTGTTTGTTGCCTGTGGCCATACCCTGCTGTGTGGCATCTCAGCTAACCTCCTGGGGTGTAGGCATTGCAAAGTGGGGTGTCGAGGCATGGGTGCTGCTGTGTTTGTGTCTGAACCACCAGCACTGCACTGGTACCTAGCAGCACTGGGAAGACGTTGCTGGAGGTGCTGTTCTGGGGCTAAGATGTCCATTTCCCTCACCCTTCTGTATTTCCTTCATTATCCTGTGTGTTTATTGAAGTTCTTCCCTGTGGTGCCTGCAGGAGGGTTTTGGCTATTTGTAAATGTAGCAAGGGTCAAAATGTGGCTGCTTTGCCTGCAGTCACTCTGTGTCCTGGGGGATCCCAAGTGCCTGGGATGGCACAGGTGACATTGTGGTGGGCATGTGTGCTTGCAGAGAGCTGCTGTGTGCAAATAGTTTCCTCAGGATCTTTTTATCCTTGATGCTGGCACGTTAAACTGTAACGTGAGCAACCCGAGAAGCTGGAAGCTTGTTCAGTTGAGGGAACAGCATCCACTGATACTCTGCACAAATTCCAGTTTGGCTTTATTCCTTCCTAACCTAAATCCTCATTGCGTCTTATACATGTTCCTGCCAGGGGCTTGATTCTGCAAAGAGGTCAGTAAGGCAGAGCCTCGCTGAAGTTAATGAGTTGCAGTGAGCTTGTTGCCTGCACCAGGACTGATCCACTTCAATGAGGTTTTCTTCATTCTCCTCTGTTTGCAGGACCATAGCTGTTTGCATAGATACGACCATCAGTTTGAAGGGTTGCCCAATCCTGCAAAGCCTTAGGCAAACAGCTAAGCAAATAGCCCATTGGCTTGGATGAGCACTGCTGGTGCTTGCAACCTGTCCCAGTGAAGGTAACTGGAATTTTGCCATTGTCTCCCATGATTGCTGTGCCGCCCCCAAGGGAAGTGTGCCCCATAGGCGTGTGTTTGAAGACCCAGACAAGTTTGTGCCAGTAATTGTCAAGCTTTTCAAAGGGTTTGAGGACATTTCCAGAGGCTACCAAAGATGTCACAGTAATGTGTTTTTTGAGATATATTTATGTTTTCATCCTTGATCTTAAGTACTCTGCTCTGACCCCTTTTAAAAGCTGCACTTTAAGAAAAATGTCCTCTCTACCCTTTTTTCCTGCAAATTGTTGACCTCTGCCGGGGCAGTGATTTCCCCATGGAAAGCTGTCACATATCAACTGTAATGCAAATGAGATTCCAAATAGTTGATCATCCCTGCCAGGTATTAAAGTTGGGAGTAGTCAGCCCAAGAGCAAATCCCAGGAAAAACAAGAAAATGAAGTCGCCATAACTGTTTTCAATTATTCAGTCTCGCTGCTTCTCCTTATGTTTCAAGAAGAAACATGCAAATCTCTCTGGGTCTAACTTGTTTACAGAGTGCTCGTGGGTTTAAAATACAGCCAGCATCAGATTTCTGTTGTACATTCCCTTCAAATAAATACTGAAATAAAAATAAGGATGCTGTAATTTGTGCCACCCCAAGAGCTAAATACTGAGCTCCAGCAGGAAATGATCGTTTTGGTTTCTTGGAACAGCTTTACTATAATCTTCCAAAGACCAGTAGCTCACAAAGGAAGAAGTGCAGGCTTTCTCGAGGCAGCTCAGCTCTCTCTGATAGTACTTGGTTTATTGTGAATTAAGGTCTTGGATGATGAGGTGCTCTAGCATGTGCTCAGATCCTGCTGAGCCTAGGGTGTGCTTCAGAGCTTTGCAGCATTGGAGCTCCAGGGCTTACCTTTTGAAGAAGTTCCATTTCTGCTGACTTCTGTGCATGCATAGATGTCATTGCAGGTTTGGGATCTACCTATATAGCTCCTATAAGCATCGATATAGGGTAGTGGTTGGTGTTAAACAGCTGCTCTGCTTGGGCAATGCACTATTTCATGGATGCCCTGGCCACCTTTGGCAGTAGTGTTACAAGTCCTGTGCATCCTGCAGCTGATGCTTCCAGTTATCTGCATGAAGTGGTGCCATGAACACAACAGTCTCTGAACCCTTTCTCACCATAGCCCATTCCTGGCTTAATAGCAGTTAACAATAACCAGCCTGGTGGTTCTGGAAACTTCCTGTTGGGGCAGGTCTTCATTTGGGTCAGTTGACCCTCTCCAGGCAAGTAAACTGGGATGCTGTTTTTAGATTTGGATCCTCTTTTAAAGCTGGGCCACAGTTTTTTTTATGAAGACACTTTCTTAAGGAAACTAGTAGCCCTGAATGTTGGCAGTGGGAAAATGCTTGTAGTGTGTCTTGGTTTGAATCTTGCACTGTGATCCACCTTTATTTATATGATTATTCCAGTGTTTGGGTTACCCTCACCTCTTTAATTTCCTTCTTGCTCATTTATGTGTGTTGATGGCTTCAGTCCTCATAGCTCCTGGGAACTTTCTGTAGGAACCCTCAGCTATTGCTTTTAAAAAATAACCCTCACCAGATGTCCAAAAGCCTCCTTTAAAGAAGAGGCCTGGCATAAGTCATATTTACTGGGAGTAATTAACTGTCCTGTTAAAAATCTTAAATGTTTTAGCATTTCATTAATAATACATAATCAACCAACAGGCTATTTGCAGTGTGTTACTTTGCTGTAAAAAAATTGTCATTATTGATACATTTCATGTTTATAATTACTCATTTGTGACGCACTTGGTCTGTTATGAATAATCCATTGTATATTGTTTTCTTAAATAGGATGCTTGCTCAGTGTGCTGGGGGTGCCAGGAATCTCTGTTAATAATGTCTTCATGTCTGATTTATGCCTGTGAATTGAAGGCAACTGGACATGATTACATGAACAGAAGCATGCTCAGAAAACTGTCCTCAAGACACTCTCAATAAGCAAGCCCTCAACAGTTGTGAGTGGAGGAGGAAATGGTTGTTGAAAACGCATTATAGGGACACAGGGGACACTTCCTCACTGTTTTGACATTCTCTTCATCTCAGCTAACGTGCCTGTGGTACTTTTTTCTTACTGCCAACAAGGACCTTGTTACTCTATGCTCTATCAGTTAGATCTCTATTATCTTCTTGTGTTCATCTACTTGGAAAAAAATGAG